AACTGATGATAATGACAATATATATATCGAACAATACGTGTCGACGCCTTTGGCTTTGGTTGTTTGTGTCGCCTGACAGTAGTTTGTTTAGACGCGGATTTGGTGATGTGACGCGCGGTGCGCGGGACGCGGACGACGTCAGTGTCGCGTCTTCGCGAGTCTATGCTGTTGACGTTTCTTTCGGCGTCGTGTCTCTTAAGTGCGGTGGACACTTTTTTCCAGCGATGTTTAGCGGCGTTTCGGAGTCATATAATGTTCGCGGACGTTGATATTGCAGCGTAACTGCATGCGGGATATCGCTTCAGCGGTGCTCCCTTCGATCTCCTATCGCGGAGATTTAAATCGGTTCGGTGTATGCGGTGTAGCCGTCGGTCCTCGTACACAGGACCTTAGCCCTCGGAGTTTCCTCTATGCTTCAACGAGCTCGGCTCGTGCGGACGCAATTTCGGATGCGGCCAGCGGTACTGTGAAACTTATCTGTGTCGGCCTCACGGATCCGTGAGACGACGGCGGAATGATTCCAGTCGCTACGCGGCGAACAGTAATCTGCCAGGAGCGGAGTAGAGTCGAACGTCGATAACACGTATCCGTGTAACGACGGCGGAGTGACTACAGTCGCCAATCGACGAACAATAATCTGCCAGGAGCGGAGTAGAGTCGAATGTCGATGCCACGTATCCGTGCAACGACGGCGGAGTGACTACAGTCGCCAATCGACGAACAGTAATCTGCCAGGAGCGGAGTCGGTCTCTCTTAGAGCGGATAATTGGAATCGGATTCTCCTTCGAGAGTGGTGGATCGGTTCGAGAGCGGATCATCGAAATAATCTCTCGATTACGATTACACGGCATTTTATATACCTCGAATCTTGCTTGATTCGCTATTTACCGCTGTTGTTCGGCGGTCGCGCTGTTTATTGTTTTGGAGGACGCGCTGTCCTCTTGCGCTTTCAGTTCGCGGTGTTCGACTTGCGTTGTTATTATTACGTAACGATATGCATCGTTACATCACCCCCCCCCCCTTCTTAGGCGTGGTCGTCTCGACTACGCACGGATTTTACTTGTCCTCCCGGATGAAATCGGACTGACCATAGTCTCCCGTTGTCATACTTTCGGTACCGGCGCGAGATGTAAGCAGCGTTGTACGGTACCTCTAGGATCAACTTCTCGCCTAACGCTACGCGTACTGGAGCCTTGTCGTCCGGATTCGTTTCGCATTTTATCATCCTTGGTGGTGTGATGTCTATCTCTGCGATAATTCGTGGCCGTGTTTTTCCTTTTGCCGCCTGTTTGTCGCTTCTTACAATGCCCGTGGCTGGTCTGATTCTTCTCCGGTTGTTCCTGTGTGTTGGTGGTGACGGTAGTCCCATCAAGGCCCTCCTCTTCCTCTCTGTCGCTAAAGCAGTAGGTGGAGGTCGTACGCACGGTATGGCTGGTGTTCTTAATTTTACCTCCTGCGGTGGCCGTTTCCCTGGTGGTAGTTGGACCGTAGTCGCCTCCTTTTGCTGCGGTAACAGGCTATCCCATAATATTTGAGCCTCTGTTTCGCTCCATGTTTCTAATAACTCTGATATCGTTTTGTCTACGTCCATGTTTGCAGACTATCTCGTTCTCTTCCTTCTTCCGTGGTTTTATACTTGATATTCTCATTGTTCTTTCACCTTGATAGTTTCGGTTAGTTACGTCCCATGATCTTGCCTTCCTTTTTTCTTTGTTATGATCCGTTGTTCTGTTTTATTTATTCTTTCACTGATACTGGTAAGTTGTTTTTGTTTATTTCTCTCACTCTTTTAATTCTCCCGGATTGATAAAAATCTACCCGCCAGTATTCCCCGTCTATGTATTTATGGTAGATTAAGGAAGATGATGACGCGTATTGTGGAAGCTCGAAGCTGCGGCCTCTTGAAATCTTAACTACCTGTCTAATGTTACTCGGCGGCTTGGTGTATGCCGGTGTCTCCCCTTCTGGGTTTCTGTTGGCTTGCTTGCCTCTACTGTGATCTTCCGTTTGCACGCTTTCTGTAATCGTCGGCGTTATTTTCTCCACGTTTGAGACCGGTGATTTGTTTCCGGCTGGTGGCTCCCAGTCCTCCAGCCAATCCAATAGTTGGATACCAAAGGCTTGACAAGGCATGTCAAGGCTTTGACATTTTGTCACTGCTGATGTAGCTGCTGTACTGGATACCGCTCTACTTATCCTTTTGCTGCGAGATCTTCTCTTTTATTCCTGGTTTTCGTTTACCCCCTCCTTATCGGCTGTTACGTCATCCAGGTCATTCTCTGTTTTTAGGTCCTGTATATGTACTTGTTTGTACCATTTTTTATTTTTGTCCTGTAAATCTACTATTACCGGAGATATTATTCTTCTTACTGTCATAGGACCCAAAAATTTTGGCGCAAGTTTCGCATTTATTGCTTTTTCCTTGCTTGAAAGCGCATGGTTCCGTTTCCATACCACATCGCCTATTTTCGGTTTCCCTTTTCTTTTCCGCAGGTTGTAGTATTTACCTTGCTTCTGAAATGCCCTGGCTAAATTTATCCGTACTAATTCGTGTGCCGATTCGAGTCGCTTTCCTATTTCGCTTGGTACTTGTGACTCTCTATGCTCCCTTTCCCGGATATGCGGTCCAGGCAGTTCTCTGCCTGTATTGAGATACGCGGGTGAAAACCCGGTAGTATCTTGCTTCGCCGTGTTGAACGCAAACTTTATTTCATGTAGATTCGCGTCCCACTGACGGTGATTTTCTCCCACATATTGTGCGATCATGGTTTTCACCGTGCGGTTTGCCCTCTCTACGGGGTTACACTGCGGTGTCCAAACCGGTGTAAGCCGCTGTGTGATTCCCAATTCTTGGACCAGCTTTCTCATGCTGCCGGATTTAAACTGTGTACCGTTTCCGAGAATAGTATCTTCGGGACTCCATTACGGTACATTATTTCCTCTAATACTGCCTGCGCAACTGCTGTTGCTGTCGCTTTCCTCAGAGGTTTGACTTCTAGCCACTTTGTAAAACGGTTTTGCATCGTTAATACCCAAGTGTGTTCCTTACTTGATCGCGGTAGTGGTCCAATTAGGTCCATCGAGACTTGTTCCCACGGATGTTGAACATTTGTCGTATGCATCATCCCTGGCGGTTGACGTTGTGCTGCCTTATGTGCCTTGCAGTTTTCGCACTTTCGCACATACTTATTTATTTCCTTAAGCATTCCCGGCCAATAGTATAATCTTGAGATGCGACATATTGTCTTTGCGATGCCTAAATGTCCTGCTGTTGGGTCATCGTGATATGCCCTCAGTATTTCAGCTCTCTGCTCGTGAGGAATGCATTCCTTCCACTGCTCACTATCCGGTGTTTCTTTGAAATCGAGACTATGTAGGATGTGGCGATACAACTTGCCATTCCTAATTTCATAGTCTGGCGATCTCTGCGGTTGCTCCTTTGTCTCATTATATACGCGAAGATACCATGGGCACTGTATTTCCTTGTTTATACTTGCAATTTCTGGTCGTCTAGAGAGTGCATCGGCTACTTTATTCGAGCTCCCTTTTTTATATTTGATCTCAAAGCTATATTGCTGGTGCTCAAACTTCCATCTTCCAACCCGTCCTGTTGGCGATTCTAGTTTTTGTAGCCATTTTAATGACTGATGGTCGGTTAACACTGTAAAATCGTATCCCTCTAAGTAACATCGCATCTTCCGTATTCCCCACACTACCGCGAGACATTCCAGCTCCGTCGCGCTATAGTTTTTCTCACTGTTGTTCAGTGAGCGGCTAGCGTATGCTATAACTCTTTCTCCATTCGCGAAATTCTGCGTTAGGACTGCTCCGAGCCCATGCTTGCTTGCGTCCGTCTGTAGTGTGAACATAAATCAAAATTTGGACAGGCGAGAACTGGTGCCGAAACTAATGTTTCCTTTAACCGCCGAAATGCGTTTTCCTCTTCCGGTCCCCAGTGCCATTTGACATTCTTCTTTGTCAAATTTATTAGTGGAGCAGCTATTTTTGAGAAACCTTCGATGAATCTCCTGTACCACGAGGCCATCCCTAAAAATTGTCGGATATGCTTAACTTTTGTTGGCGTTGGCCACTTGCTTACTGCCTCCGTTTTTTCTGGATCTGTTCTGATTCCGGCTTTATCTACTATATGCCCCAGGTATTTCAAGCTTGGACGACAAAAGTGACACTTCTCGGCATTTAATCGTAGTTTTGCCTTCCTAAGCCGTATAAAAACTTCTTCCAGCACACTTAAATGTTGCTCATGTAACGTCCTTCGCGACCGCTCAGACACAAAAAACGTTATGTTCCCTTTTTTTGTTTCAGGCCTGCCTGCATACACCGACAATAGCCTGGGCTGGTGGAGGACCGTGCATCGAGAGGAAGTAATTCATTCGTGTCGTGAATTCGTGTAAAAATAATGTAATTTTATGTTACGCTTTCTATATAAAAAGAATAAAATCTTGTGATTCGATAATAAAGGCGCTAATTAATTGTTAATACCTTGTAATGATTGAATTACTGAATAGAAGATATAATATGTAAAAAGTAAAATAGTAATTAGGTAATATAAAATGTAAAATATTAATTGGGTAATATAAAATGTAAAATATTAATTAGACTGGATAATAAAGAAACGGAATTATAATAAAAGAGGGAATATTATACTTGGGTAATGGGTGAATAGAAATTGACGAGTTAATTGACAGTTATTTCATTGAGAAATTCTATATAAAAAATATATTTTATTGGAATTTAATCATCATTGGTAAGT